CGTAGTTGAAGCCGATTATCCATTTGAATTTTAAATAAGAGGCCTGCAGAACATGCAAGGAATTTTCATAGATCGATGTTCTTCATGAAATCGTTGCCTTTATTGTGCTTCATATGTGCTCTGAACCCAAAACTTGCTGTAAAAATTGCTCGAGGTTGCAAGAACCGCAAAAAGTTGCTTCAAACGCCAAAAGTTGCTCAAAAGTTGCTGGGTACGATCGGGGAAGGCCTGGTGGCCAACTGCTTTCTTAATCAACTTAGTTGATAAAGCTAAATTATTAATGAAAATTAGTCGGGGTAACGCTCCTTAGTATTGACTGAATTGTCAACTGAAAGAGATTTCCATACTGATACTCACAAGAAAACATGGGTATGCTGCGCATGCCAGAGTTGTTTTTGGCAGGGCGGGTTGATCGAGTCGAGACACTGTGTAACTGATGTCTAAATTTTTGTAAAACAAAAAGAGCATAACTTTCAAAAGAACGAAAATTTCACGTTACTTTATCCTGAGAGAAAGGAGAACAATCTTCCAATATCCTCCAATATCCTCCGGGTATTCTGTGTTCTATTGTCTCTGTGATCTCCTTTGGATGAGGAACACGAGCGTAAAGTAGCATCATCGCCCGAATTTACAGCGTTTTGTTTCCAGTGGATTCGTTTGGATGGCGTTTCTCACAGACGTAGCTCAGGAAGGACAACTTAGAGGGCAATTAAAGCAGATGAACTAAACTCAAGCTATATTGCCCTAAATCAGCCCGAGAAATTCACACGATGCAAATTCAATTGCTGATTTGCCGTTGGCTGATTGGTGCAAGCAATATACCTCTCTATACGCTAGCATAGGGTTATTATTTTTTTTTATAAAAAAACACTAAAAAAAATCATCCAAACAATCTTGATGTAGTAATTGCTTAAGTAGTTCACTTCCAAGCCGATAACGACCATAATATATATACATATATATATATATATATATATATATATTATATATATATATATATATATGAACACAAAGAATTTAGCACGAGAAGTGGTAGAATAGAATAGTTTATTTAATGTCATAGACGTGGGAAGTGTTCGCACAATCTTCCGAGCCAGAGGTTCATGTTAAAAACGCTCGACAAGCTAAAAATACAAAACAAGATAAAATGTGAGTTATGCGTACACAAATATTAAAAATTATTTAGATAAATATTAACTAGCCCTAGAGTATGTAAAAATGTAAAAATGGACAAAAATTCTCTACCGTTCATACATTGGTATCCTGTGAAATTAACATTATTCAGGCGAGCACGAAATTGTGTTAAAGTGGTCGAGAATTTGGTTACAGCCGGTAACTGATTAATTGTGGTCTCTGTTTCCATGAAAACAGAATAATAAACGATACTAAATACAGTTCCAAGCCTCGATAATAAGTCTGATTTGTTTTCAATTAGTTTCGTAGCGAACCGGAAATGACCAGGAAAACAACAAAACATTGCCCTTAATTGGAGATGTACTTCTCATCCCTTCATTGTTGTCAGTCTGATCTTAATTAGCGGCAAATGGATCATCATAATTATTACTGATTAGTTTTTAATTGTTTCTGAGCCTACGCCTCACATAATAAAGGCTTAACTTTGGTCTAAAATGGGTTCAAAACGTTTTATCGATGTCAAGTCCATACCGTCAGACATCCGATCAGAATAATTTTCTAGCGTAATTTTATGCAACGAGTTTGCTTGTTAAACTAAAGTTCATATGAATCGTCATTCGTTTTGTCAATGTGATTTTCCCGAACAAACTTCCATGTATTTAACCGGAGAAATTTGCTGTTTTGATCCAGAATGTGCTGACGTGGCCATTTTACGCAGGGAGGACACATGCCATCGAAGCATATCGGATTCAGTGAATCGTTGCACAGGAATCAGCCGTCGCTTATTACCAAGAAGACCCAGAATCGGCGAAGGACGTCCGAGCAATTTTGAAACAAAGGTACAACGCTCGAATAACCAGCGTTCAGATCTCTCTGACAGAGAAACACCAGACGTATCAATTGAAGGGGAGAGACCGAAAACGGCTGTGCTGAAAAAGTCACTAAGCCTAGAGCCAGAGCTTCTGTCAGTGGCGGGTAACAGGTACCTGGAAATACAAGGGTTATCTGCCAGACTCCCTCATCACCTCCCCCCATTTAGTCAAAGGATCCCAGTAGCAGGTTCTAGAAGTTCTAACCATCTTATTCACACCGTCGAAAAAAACAAAAATCAACGTAGAATTTCCATATTTGATTTGCCCAAGAGCAAAGATTGTAAGAACATTTTTCTTCGAGCTAATTTGGGTCCGCTACGAGCAAGTGGGAGTCAAAAAGAAAAAGAGGAATTTGAGGAGTGGAGAAGAAAGTTTTATGCTCCCATAAATAAAAAGACGATCCCAAAAGAAAGCGCGTCATTGACTTTGGAGTGCTCAGGAGACGCGATGTTTCCTTGTTTGTCTGGACCTACCACTACAGGCACTAATGAACTCACACCATCATCAACTGATCACTTGGATCCTAAAGTACTTTTCTGTCAATCACAACCATCTCTGTGTGAAGATAGTGAAATAGATCCTGGTGGATCTGATTTTCAGCTAATCAAGAGGGTAAATAGGCGAAGGTATCTGTTTAGTGCACCCGTCCCACAACACCGAATCGAGCCGCAGTCCTCGAGTCGAGAGACGTCATTACCGCACCAGACATCGCAACAAGTCAAAGATAACCAGACAAAATGTATCCAAAGAGAAGAGTGTAAACTTTCAATTTGTAAATCAGACAGGAAGTCAGTTGTTATGGCTACTAATCTGATGGAACAAAGAAATTTATTAAGTAACGAAGACGATAATTGTCCCATCAAGAAAGATTGGACTCAGGACGAGGAATCAGAATGGACTAAGCAAAATATTTTTGCGGATGGTGATTATCAAAATCCACTATACGATGAATTTGTGGAGGACGTGAGCGAGAGCTCAAAATCTGTTTCTTATGAATGCACAACAAAACAGAGCAGTTATGAACGAGAGAAAGATACAACTGAGTTTAAGATTCGTACGAAAAAATACAAGGAATCACTTCAAGCCACACAAAAGTCTCTACAATGGAAAGGAAGTCGTAGAGATGGCAAAGTGGAAGCGACTCTAGACGCAAAACAAGAACGATTCCTTCGTGTTATAAGAAAACGGCTCTAAGTGACTACTCATTATTTATCGTCGCGTTAGCGTGTTTAGTGGTAAGTTGCTCGCACCAATCACATCGCCGCATTAGGGTATGCATCACACACCAATCAGATTGCCGCTTTAGGGTATGTGTCTCGCGCCAATGATATCACAGCATTTGGATATCTTGCACCAATCACAGCGTTTTAGAATTGTTTTCTTGTAAATGATGTCATGGACTCAGGGGGCCGTGCACAAAGAATGACGTTAACCAGAAATTTTAAGCTCATTTGATAATTGTTACGGTTGTCGTCTTTGCAAGAGCCTCGTCGATTGAGGTCGAGGTTTATCGGGTAATGAAGATTCGCATTTATTTTTATTGTATCATTTAACAGTTAAAACGTGTTTTTCCGCTCCTTTTCTCTCAACGCACATTCCATCACGTACTATGACAACCACGTCCAAAGTCCACTTAGAGCATACCCCATCAATGCACGAAGAGCACGTGCTTGAATTGTATTCTACCAATAAAATTCCATTTTATCACATTAAACTTCGCTCCATCACATGGCATTTCCTTATAAACAACCTGAATTTTATCACGTATTCTAGCTGCATTATTCAACCCCAAAAATTTCTCTTGGAACTTAATGCTACTGCTAGTGAATTTCTCACCACTTCGGATTTTGAAGGAGCTACAAATTTCTAGCTAATGACAAATAAGTTGCAAAGAAGCAAAGGAGAAAAGAAATAATAATACCAACAGACACGATAAATGCCAAATAATAATAAAAATTATTAAGTAAATAGATCAATTAAATAAATGAATCACACTAAGTGTAACCCATGCTCGTTGTTGTGTTCGCCCAATTACGAAGAAAAATCTGAGGCTCACGATGCTGGATGCAGATGATGGATAGCGAAATATTGCATTTTGACAAAAAAAAAAAAATAAATAAAAGTGCACGTTTTTAGAACGAGCTACTTTCTCCTTGTCAGGTCTGTCTTTGTTCTTTTGCCTTCCATATAGATCTGAACTATGTCTTAAGCATCCTCTTATATTCCTCGACCTCGATTTTAATTTGATCCACAAAAAAATTGTCAGAAAGAGAAATGTTTCCCAAGAAGGAGAAGCACAGGCATGCGCCTTCTATTGACGGCGCCTGCGTTCTGGGTGAAGGGGTGGTGCACAAAACACGTTTTAACTTCTAAATGGTAGAAAAATTCCCTGACGTCCTATCTAACCTTGACAGGTCGCAGCGACGAAGTCCTTACGAAGGACATAAATAATTGCATTGTTTTTTAATGTCTTATAATTGCATTGTTTTTTAATGTCTTCTTGGTGTGTGTTAATAAACTGGTATGTTGGTTTGATTCCATCGCAACATATTGCAGTACCCTAATCTCATGACATGATTGGCATGAGGGACGATACTCTAACGCTCTAATTGGTGCAAGTATGATGTAAGCATACCCTAATGCTGTGTTTGATTGGTGTGAGATACATACCCAAATGCAGCGATCGGATTGGTGCAAGCAACATAACCCTCAATCATTACCATAGAATTCTTGTTTTTTATCGAAAAAAACAAAACAAAACAAAACAAAAAAAAAACAAAAATTATTTCTTAAGCAAGATGACAAAACGTCAACGAAGGCACAACCTGGGATGTCTGCAGCTGCCTGGGTGTCCTGTGGTTTGATGCTGTATCCAGTCCACAGAGGTCTGCAGTTGTGTTTTTTGCCTGGTTACCTAATCACCTTTCCTTTTCCCAATTTTGTTGTTGGAATGAATAGCATAATCTGGCAAACTGACTTTACAGAATGAAGAATGAACCAGCGAGACGTCGCCTGGCTCGAATAAGATGCCTTTTGGAGAGCATAAAACACATAGAACAAGGGAAAAGTTTGCCTTCGGCACTGTGTTTTGTTCCTGCGGAAATTGAGTACGCAAGGGAAGATAATAGGAACCAAAGAGTTATAACGATACACAAGAAACCAAAAAGTGATGCTCAGTGTGTTGGAGAGCTGCCAGCTGTGTCTAATCTTCAACTGTTTGCATCAGGAAGTGAAGTCTTTAATAGTAGTGGCTCCTGGATAAAGCTTTCTCAGGTATTGCCGGCTTATGCGTAGATTTACGGTATCAACTGACAACGAGTTTCTGATCGTGATGTATTCAACTGCATTGATTAAAAAACAAATTGTGCTTGTTTCAATTTCTTAAATTAATCTGTTGTCCTATTTTGTCAGTTAGAGCTATTATTTCCAGCAGAAAGGCATAAAAAATAAGCCGACTGCAGTTTCGATACTCTTGAAGTTTCCCACTAACATGGGTAAAATCTCCGCACAGCCCCTTACTACATTATGCATTCAGTTCTCGGATAGAAAAAACAATGACAAAAACAATACATTGCCATTGGGAAAACAGATTTGTTTTACCATAGTATGGGGCTGTGCGGAAATTTTACCCTAACATGCTTAAATATCATGTACACCGCGTTCGTACCATATTTCAAACAATTGTACTTGTCTATCGTATGATAACTTTGCTCAGCGCAATGTAGTTTGATGAAAGTGAAGGAAATTGAGAGTTAATGAAACTAACTTCTTTACAATAATTATCTCACCGAGATGACAGAATAGGACTGAACTATTCAAGGAAATTCATGACAGTGGCATTATCTAATTAAGCAAGAATCACCTGTTGTGTATTTCCTTCCGACTAAATTTGAATATTGTTCAGTTTTTGGATTGATCTCATCCACAAAAAGAATTTGACTGGACCTTCTTTTAAAGCTTTCAGATCTGAAATCATATTCCACATCAAAGCTGGGTTATCCTAACAACTCAGCATAGTGCTGTCTGGTTACACTGTCAGTACTATACTATCATACCACTACTTATCAATTATTTACATGCATTTATTGGCAGAAAACTTTACAGAGGTACTGTTCTGGTAAACCAGCAAAAGAGGGGTGGATTCTTGCAGCACCTTATGACAGTAAACATGGTGTAGGAACACCTTATGTCAAAGCTGTAGATGGCAGTTCACCATCTAAAGGATCTAGAACCATCAAAAGGTTTGTAATGTCACATATCAATAGTGTATTTGTATACTTAATTTAAGGTGGCTATGATGCTGCAATGTTTTATTTTAATGCATTATATAAACTAAGTGAGGTGCTAAGCAAACTTTAGATCTCCTTATTTTGATGGTTGGACATGTAATATGCATGTGTATATACTTTGCAAGATGCTTGGTATTTTTCTGAACCATGTGAGGGCAGGGAAAAATACAAGCAATGAGCAAAATGTGCACTCATATTATAAGTTAAACCATGGAATGAGGGATTTATTATTCTACTCCCATCTCATTTTCTAATATTTTGGCTTTCAGTTTTTGAAATACTTCCTCCTGTCTAAAGGGCATGTGTGAATTAACTGAAATGTTGGCTTTATAGAAGGGGAAGGGGCTAATGCACACCTCCTCAGGGTAGTAATAATTTGTTTCCATGAATGAATTCAAATTGATGTAGTTAAAATATAGTCGTATTGAAATCTGATCAAGTATTCTGATCATTTGGCTGAGGTCACTTATGACACTCAACTCCTCATTTAACTCTACTGATGAATTCCACTGAGGTTGTCAAAAAAGTCAGTCACCACTACTCAGAACAACTGTCACTCAGACAATCAGACAATCAGACCACATAATCAAATGTTATCCCTGTATTAGAACCAATTACTGTAATAGTGACAGAAATAATTAGAGACAAACCAAGTAAGTTTCCTTTTTTCTTTACCCTTCAGTTGGCAAGAGGCAGTAGAGATGTGTTACTCACTCAGGATATCTGACCCACCCTCCATTGAAAAGTATGCTGACAAAGAAGCCATGCAACAGCTGAGTGCTCCTCCACCAAAGTGGAATTTAGATGCAGATGAGGAGCTGGCCAAGTTTATGGCTGATCATATAAATAAACATGAAGCATCACTTGGAAATATCAGCAGATATGTGGAGTCAGTGCAAGTTTCCTCTGTGAGTTTGCATCTATTTAACCTTTAACTTCCAGAAGTGATTTACATGTAACTTCTACCATTAATATCCATTCATTATTCAGCACACAGGTAATGAGAATACTGAAACTATCCAGCTAAATGATATTACCATAATTGAACACCAAATTCTCGTAACCAATTTAAAAAGAAATGTGTTGCAGCTTGAGGGGAGAATTTAAAATCAGATTTTGGAAGTTAAAAAGTTAACAGTTAGATTCCATGTTGCCATGCGCATGTCAAGTAATTGGTCACAGATGACGTCAAAATGTAATAAGAACAAAAAAGTTGTATCATTGATGTTTTTACTACATTTTGACATTTTCTGTGATATATTATAATTGTACAGGTGCACAGTAATGTGGAATCATTTTGAATTATTGCATTCGACGAAGGAAGAACGCTTCCTAATCTCCTGGGCTACCTGTGATTGCGTAGGTGTCCTGTGCACGCAAGCGAAAGCTGACCCGTGTTTTTTCGTTCAATCGGCCAGCCATTCATCTTTTCAGCACCATTTTGAATGATGTCACAATTTTGTTGTGCAAAGGATGCTGCCTCGTGCATCGCAGTTTGTCGGACGTTTGAGGACGTGGTTGTTCCCTGGTGAAGGTTCAAGCTTTATTGCCCGTTTATTGCTGCCGAACGCACTTCCCTAATCTCCGATTACTACTAGTATGATAAAAAAAAACAAAAATGTTGTTAATAATTATTCTCTATACTCTTCTCTTCACATTTCCTTTGGTTCTGACGAGGAGAATTTGCTGGACAATCACAGCTTGTTAGATTGGCGATCATTTCCTTTTTTCTCATGATCTTAGTGAATTACTCAGCAGCATTACTGTGAGGAGAAATTAGATGCTGATTACTCTTGAGATCATTAGTAAGAACTAATCTAAATGCATTTGTAATTCAGCCTATTCTATATTAATGAAGATGTATTATTCTAAATTTATTTGATAAAATGCTGCCACTTTAATTTAATTTTTAGTGTTTCCCTAAGGCATTTATCTAAGTATGGAAGCTCTTTACTTTAGGGAGGTGTTTCTCTCAAAATCATATTTCCTAGATCTTTGACAACAATTATATTAAAGCATTAGTAGATTCTTAAACTCCTGAGAGTAACTGGCTTTTTAATTTCTCCTTAGAGTATCACCCCTGAATCAAATGTAACAGTCATGAGTGAAATGGAAATGATAACTAATTTAAGGAGCTTCTGATTTTTACACAAATTCTCCTTCTCGTTACTGTGGAATATATAGAGATAAATGTGTGGAGAATATGAATGTTAATATTAAGGTGTAAAGGATTGAGTTATACCATACTTGTAATTTTTTGTCTCACAATCTTCCACTAAATGCTGCATTCACCTGCTTAGGTACAGCATTCATTTTAGGGGCATGTCTATGGATGATTTTGCATCAATCTGCATCATTTAATTGCATGCAGCATTATTAAGGGCTTTGTCTTTGGCTATTGTTTTTCTTGCTAGAATTGAATTGTTCTTCAAACTTCTGGATTCTTGATTCTTGATACTTGACACTTGAGCTTTGATTCTCGATAGTTTCGAGCATCAAGGATAGGGTTTTCATGTGGAGAGGGTCGCATTACTTTTGAGTGGTAACATAATAAATGTGATACAAGTGATAAAAATATTTGATTTCTAAATTGAAATTGAATTGAATTGAAAAAACTTTTGTTGTTCATTATCCCTGAATCCCTTTGAGTGACCAAGACAAAATTTCTCCTTACCATGTCAGTACAATATTAAGCAGACCACTGTCATGAAAAAAAAAAAAAATAAAATGTTAATCAGGGAAATATTAGTTGATCTAATACCAAATTCTCCAAACTGACATAAGAATTGTAAGGCAGACTGTAAGGAGAATTGTTAATGAGATCTTTGGAGTGAAAGGGTCAAAGTAAATTCATAGCTGTGAATCAGCCTTTTAGAAATCCTATCCATGCCCCAGGTTCATGTATTTAGTCAAGACTTATGATGCAAAATGAAGATAAAAGTGGTAATTTCATTTCAGGAGGAGGACTCAAAAGATGCATTGACAGATGGTGATCCAGATACCTTCTGGGAAACAGATGGCAGACAGGGTAAACATTGGATTAAGCTCTCAATGAGAGCAGGAACTATCATTAGGTTAGTTTACTAGTCATAAAGTCAGCTGTAGGGTTTCCTTGGTACAACTAGGGGAGTATGCCTGATCAGTTTTGCACCTGATTACAGAAGGCACAATTGAAAGGATGTAATTATTCTACACTAGCTCAGCCCATGTGAGTGCTCTATTTTGTGAATTGCTATACTGTAGCAGTCAAGTTTACTCTAGTCAGGTAAACTTTACCTGAGGAAACAAAGTGCTCTGATTGGTCTGTCTGGGTAAAATTTAACCTCATCTGGTAAACATTTTTGGTACGTGCACAGTGTTTCTGACACATTTTCTTGTATGTTAGATTAAGTACCCTGGGTTTTTATTAAAATTTTGGAACTTGGGAGTCAGTAATTATTTGAGGTGGGCATTTATTTGAAGCTGGCACTTATCAAAATTTTCTCCTTTTTCAGCAAGGTGTAAGTTAAATTTGATTTGCAACAAAACAATCTGTAATACTGTAACAATCTATAATACTTTATCTATAATAATAGATAAAGCAAATGAACAAACAAATTGACGCCTCTGTGTGTGTCTTTTTTTTTTTTTAGGCAACTTTCTGTCACTGTAGATGCCAAAGATGATAACTACATGCCACATCATATTATAGTCATGGGTGGAGATTCTGCCAACCTCAAACAACTCAATGAAGTCTTTATTGATACGTAAGTCATGAAAATATTGTTGTTAAAGTTATTTTGCTATCTGTGTGGCTTAATGATAATAAACTGGGCTTTGGGCCAAGAGGTCTGGGTTCAAGACCTCCCCAGGTTGGTGTGTTGTGTTTTTGGGCAGATACTTTCCTTTCAGTGCCTCTCTCCACCCAGGAATAGGTGATTCAAAGCTGGCATTAGGTTAACCCAGGGTTAGTGTGAAATCTGATTTCAGATTTCAAAGCCTTAATAGAAAACTCTGTTCCATTCGTTTTGTCTATGATTTGATGATTGGATGCCCTAAAAAGGAAAGAAAAAATTACCTGAAAAAGGCTTTTGAACAAAGGAATGAAGAAACTTGGATTAAAATTTAATGCTGGGTTAGCACTAATTGGACTTCCAACAACTGGGCCTAGGAGTACAAATGGGTAGCTGCAGATTATCAGGAAAGCCTGATCAAATGCTGGGGGGGTAACCTTGCTGTGAACTAGCATCCCATCCAGGGTGGAATAGTAATACTTCTAGGTGCTTTATGCTAAGGAAACCAGGATCAAATCTGGCTTGATGGGCCATTTTTCAAGTGCAGAATGAACTTACATTGCTATTTTGACCCTTTCAGTTCCAGAATCTCAATATCCACTCTTCCATACTCCACCATACATCTGTGCTTACTTTACCCTTTACAACCTCCCTCACAGCAAAGAGGCATATTCTCCATTCTGTTCTCTATGCATTTCATAAGATGCTAACAAGGAGAATTTGTTTAACAATCAAGAGCTTCTTTAGTTGGTGACCATTTTCTTTATTCTCCTTTCTTTAAAGTATGATTCAGGGATGATATTGTAAGGAGAAGTTAGATGCTTGTCACTCTTAGGGGTCAAACAGTTAATCCTAATGATAATCAACACCTTAGACATGAAAATGTACTTGGTTGATATAAAATTATGTCTTTAATTAAAATGATTTTTTCTTTTCTTGTAGAAGCCATACAGGGGATGTGTGTATTTTGAAAGGCATGACACAATACTTCAGTATCATTCAGATTGCAATTAAAGAATGCAAAGGTATTGTGTATACAGTCTCATCAATTACTAATTACCATTAGCACTCGCAGATAAACTGCACCCTGAGAGCCACACCCTGAGAGCTGCACCCTGAGTTTGGCAACTCGAATTTTGGTAAAAAAGCTTCTGAAAAGAAATCATAAGTGGAGTCTTCAGAGTTGCACTGTTTTGGTTAAAAGTTTTCCCTGTAAACTCATAATATTGAAAACAGAGAATACTCTTAATCCTCACCACTGATGTATGTTTTGTTAACACTTAACCTTTAACTCCCATCAGTGATTAAGAAAGAAATTCTCCTTACAATATTAATACAATATCAAGCAGACAGTGATGAGAGTTAGGAAAAATGATCAATTAGGGCATTTCATGTTGATCCAATTCCAAATTCTCAGAACTAATGGATTAGAGTTGTATAATGGCAGACAGTTAGGAAAATTACCTATTAGATCTTTGGAATGAAAGCCAGTTCACTGCTAGATAGGGATTTATCAGTTGGACAGTATTTTCTGCCCTGAACAACTGGGCCCAGATGTAAAACCTTCACCATATATGACTTAGTGAAAACTCTTTTTCTCTAGATTTCTAGGAATGAAGAAATGAATATCATGTTTAATTATACTTTATGATAATTAAGTATCAAAGTATTTTTTTGCCAGATGAGGGTATTGACACTCGTATCCATGGTATCAAATTAATATCAGAGAGTGAAAAGGAGCCAGGACTGAACCAAGATTTGTTTACACCCACGGAACTTATCAGGTATGTAATGCGTGCAGTCATATCAGCAATTTTATTTTCAAGTGAATTTTTCCTCATAAAAATGATTGGGAAAGAGGTACACATCACTGGGGTGGTACTTAGATCACAATGTCCACTCCTTGGTATGTTTTAACCCTTTAACTCCCATGAGTGACCAAGACAGAATTTCTTCTCAAGTAGAGGAGTGATGAGAATAAAAAAAAGTATTAATTTAAGGGGATTATTAGTTGATCCAATACCAAATTCGCCAAAGTAACATCACAAGAACTAGATGGCAGACAGTAAGGAGAAGTACTAATGAGATCTTGGGAGTTAAAAAGTGAATCCTTTTTATTCCAATAACAGGGGTTCCAATAAATTTTTTCTGCAAGTTGCCACCAGTATTTTACTAGGTGGCTTTGTTTAGAAAAGGGGCTATAAGGTGAAATTCAAATACAAGAGCTTGCTTGTAGACAGCAGTAAGGGGTCTTTTATGAATTGGTAGACCACTGGTAACTGACTCTTATAGAAACCCTGAATAAATGACCAATTAAAATAACTTCTTATTACAATATCAGTACATTTCAAGTGGAAAGATGATGAGAAGAAAGAAGATTATCTTCTAAAGAATATTGATTGATTTTACACCCAATACTTAGAGCTGAAATTATGAGAGAATTAAGAGATCAAGTGCATAGGATCGATTTTAAGATCTTGGCAGTGAAATGGTTAATCTGTTGATTATAACGCTCTCGCAGGTTTCCTAAACTAGATGCCGTAGATCCTGCTCTGCTTTACAGAAGAGCACAAGCCTTGCTCAGGTAAACATTGGTCTAGAGTGTAAGCACTAGGTTGAAATGCGACCTGAATGATTGTGTTCTCCAACACTCATGATCGCAGTGCAAAATGAGGTGTGCTTGTTTGATTTCTTGAGTTTGCAAATTTTGTTTGAGCGGTTTGCACTTAAGCTCTTCTGAATGACAAGTGATCAGAAACATACGGTGTAAACTTAAAGTAAGCACAGATTAAGTCGAAAGATTTTGTTGACGTTGACTTTTTGAAAAATTGAACTGGGAGCCCTGTGCAAGGTACTGTAAACTGGAATAAGCTTCGTAGAATTGGGCTCCCTGAGCTTAGATTAAACACTTAACCTAACCTAGCGTAATTTCAGTGTCATCATGAATTTTACTGAAAGGTTTTTTTCTATTTCTACATGGTTAAATAAGATTCATTGAGCTTCTAGACAGTGTACTGCATTACCTTCTTCCTTCCTGGAATTATTCTGCTGGGTCATTTAAAGATTTGGAGGTATGCTAAAACTCTCTTTTTGCGTCGATCAATTCGAAGCCTCAACTTCCCCCCAGGGGATCCCCCTTCCCCTGGGAACCCCCCTCTCTCGGGGACCCCTCCCCTCAGACGACCCGCTTCCTTCCCGAGCGACCCCCTTCCTTCCCGAACGACCCCTTCCCCCTAGTGTTTAAACTTTTGAAGATTGGTGCGTTCAAGTTCCCACCCTTTTTTCCTCCCCCCCCCCCGCAATAATTATGTTCAAATGCCCCGCTTAATATTTTTGTAAAAGGCAAAATGAGCGACTATGACTACACTTTGACCAAACCTGAAAACCTAGACATTGTAGACCTTTTCTTTTGAGCTATTTGCTCGCGAAAGTCAACTATTTACCATATCAAAAGTTGTAAAACTTGTTTGCCGCTGGAGAAGACTTGACGCATCCGGTTCATATTCCCCACCCCAACCAGATGAGATTCAACTTCTCCATCCCCGAGACGAACGACGTTGAAATCCCTGAGGGTTTTCCGCGGGGTATCTTGTTATTTGTATAGGACCCTCATTTACTCACTACTTATAGTGTAAATGATAATGACAGGGACACAATGAAACACAGACAGAAACAAAAGTAATAAAGCTTATTCAAGCTGCTTTTTTTAGAAGTGGAAAAATAATTGAGAGAGCGAAAGGAGGTAAATGGTTAAATTTTTTCTCTCGTTTTCCTTTAGGCCATACGTCAGCTTCTTCCTCTGTCGAAGCACAGAACCTTGTTAATTGAAAAAGTCATTAGAGAATCACAGTCAAGGTGAGACATTGTACATGATTTTTATCACGTTCCAAGACTAGCATAGATCTGAACAAACAGCATTCATGTCAAACATTTTGCATAAACGTACGTTAGATTTGCAATAATTGTTACTATTATTGTCCGTTTTTCAAAAAGTACTCCTAAATCGCTTTATAACAATATCTTTGTTTCCGTTTCGAGTGTCTCCAAACTCGGTTCAAACGTCTGGAAACTCGACTCAACCCTCAAGGATCGAGGATCGAGTTTTGAGGGACTCTCAACTTACTTTTGAGTGCTACTGTAGTTATTTGGAATGCAGGCATCTTTTTAAAACCCTAACTATTATTCACTGTGCTTATTCAACAGCTCACCTGCGCATATGCCAAAGTTATTTATCAATAGACGATCAGCAGCTGAACACAGAGCGGATCCAACACAAGATCCAGATGCCAAACACTCCATACTGAACCAGGTGAGCAGTTTCTTCACTCTCCTATGACGTTGTGTTCCTTAGCAAGACACATCTCTCTTGCAGTGCCTGCAAACTGTTATCCTATTATCCCATCATTCGCTCTGATGAAGGGCTAATGCTCGAAACGTCAGCTTTTTAACTCTTTACGGTGGCCAATACACGTTATCAACTCAGTTTATAATTATACTAAACTACCCTGTTTTACTCTTCCACCGACGCAGCACCACAGTTTCTCTAGAAACTTCCCCCCCCCCCTCCCTGGTTATCCCATTAACCCTCATGAGTGACCCAGGCAGAATTTCTCCTTACAGCAGAGCAATTTCCAGTTTCAGTGTCGACCGCAATCTTTTTGGCTTTGCTTTACCTTGCTCTGTGATTGTTGCCGAAAACTTGTACCTCTATAAAGTCAATCACGACTGGTTTCTTTTACTTTAACTGAGTTCTCCTTTGCCTCTTACGGGTATTTTCCTTTCTTCTGATTGGCCGTACATGTTGCGATTACTTTGGTTTTGGTTTTACCACACCCAATCGAAAAGCGCTCTATTGATACAATATCAAACAGACAAGTTGTCGAAAACGTGAAAAAGCTGTACCACACATCCATATTAAGTCACGGTTTATTCACTTGATTAAACGATTTTACTACAACGCTTCGGTTAACTCCCACTCCCAGCTCTCGGCTTATTCGAAGGAAACACCCTAAACGTCCCGTTGTAAACATGTGGAACAGTACCATCTGTGGGGCGTTAAAACACGTGCCGCATACATGTTTGTTTGGTTATGTATAAATAAACGAAATCACTTATAAATGTCAATCAAATTAAGAATAATTAACGTATCGTACAGTTTCTTCAAAGTGATGAAAATTAAAGAAAACTCTTACTTTCGACACCCAATTGAAAATTGCTCTATATGAACCAAGATAAGTTCCAATGGTAGGAGCCAACAGGCTGGAGAGCAGACTTAACCTTTTTTTTTCCTTTAATTATGTACGAATGTTTCTGTGTCGCGTTCGTAACAGAAAATATTTATTGTTTAGTTATATGAAGGGCTCAAGCAGGAAAAGTGTGGCGTAAAAATGGATTACAGGTGACAATGACAAGAGCTTTCCTTGTAGATCTGTTTTTCCATAACTATCGGTATCTTAAAATTTAGCCTCTTTTTAAGTTCACCCACTAACTGCTGATTTCGACAGAGTTAAAAGGAATATGTTCTGCCGTATGGCATCGAGTCGAGGGCTAACTTGTTTTTCTTCTGGGTGCGAACTCGCAAAGGTGGTTAGGGGCGAAGTTGAAATGGAACGAACCTTCCTTAACTCTTAAAACCCTAAGAGTGACTAGCATCAAATTTCTCCGTAGAATGTCACCCCTGAATCACACGTAAAGGTCATTAGAATAAAGGAAATGATCACCAACGGAAGAAGCTTTTGATTGATAAACAAATTCTCCTCGTCAGTACCTTAGGAAATGTATGAAGAGCAGTATGGAGAATATACATACTGATGTTAGGGTGTAAAGGTTTAAAACTTTTTATGCCATTATGTCACTTAAGATATGTCAAATACTGTATCTAGCGGGCGCTTTAGTCCATTGTGTTCAAGACATGCAATTCAGGGTCAAAAAAAAATTAACGCTGTTAACTAGAAACCATGTTCAATATTTAGACCTATTCAGCTTTCTAAGTGACTGTCATTTCTTATTGAAGTGTTTATTGATTTTTCTTCAGGTGGTCAGCCAGGTATGATCAGTGGTGGGAATGCAAATTCCTTTCGGAAGGAATTATTGATCAAGGTTGGTATTACTCCCCCGGTATAAGAGAGTGAGAACTCCACCAATTTGTTGATCTCCTCGTAGATACTCTCCAGTTATTGAAACTCAACCGTCCAAGGCAATTAAAGGAAATAAAATGTATCCTCATAAAAATTATACTTTTTTTCGTCATCGTTTCTGTCGTTCCTCTAAAGTAGAAAACAAATAAGAGGGAGTTTTTGATAGTTTGGACATTGCAAATTGAAAATTGTAAACCTTGTTTCAGTATATGCCTTGCCAAGTTGTTAAATTTTTGTATACTGAAGTACACGACATACATTTGTTCCTTCAGGTGGTGGTTTTCGAGACTCCCTTGCAGACTTGGCCGAAGAACTTTGTCCAAGCTCAGTTGATGCTCCAATACCTGTCCCTTTCTTCATTCGCAGTCCAAATCAGGTACTCTCACGGCCTTTGCGGTTTATCAATTTCTGTTTGGTCTTTTCCTATCTGACCGATCTGATATCTTGTCGCCATTTTATAATCAATTTTCTACATAGTAAGCCATCTTGTTCCTTCTTGATTTATTATTGCCTCTTTTGTGGTTTTTTATCTTATCGAAGGAATATTTGGAACTCTCCTTCAAGTTGAAAGTAGATTTCTTTCAGCATAGCCATTAACTCAAATGTCTCGACATAGCCTCTACCAGTTGTGAAAACCACCACTATACAACAAACGTTTTGGTGATGCGTTTACTGAACGCTGTTCAACAGCTTGAATTTACTCGCTTCTGTTGTAGTATATCATCAACGTTTGGGACTTAATGTTGAAATGCCTTATCAAATATTTTAAACTGTACCACTGGCCTTTTACCATGTCAGCCAAGAACTTAACAGCTTGGTGTTTATCATATGGTAGTTTTTAATGATCGCGCACCAGTAATTCATCCACCGATAGAACTAAGTTGCAGTAGACGGTACTGGGGTTCCATTGCTGAATGTCAGAGTTATAACCACCCTGTGCTGCATATTACATAATAGCTTTTGATAATGCTATTGAAAAGCTGTTTTGTGATCGGTCAAACCATTGGGTTGTTATCCTTAGACTTGAAATTTAAAGTCAGAGAGACTTCTTACGAGATAATTACAACACATTGAAGAAAAATACAATAAAGTAAAACAAAACAACAAACAAAACATTAGGACACGCAGGTTTCTTCGATATTCCTCTAAATCTTGCTTATAACTCACTTCTAGTCACGTTTTTTTTCAGTTACACGATTCTTCAAATGTCAATAGAGATGCCTACGTGCCTAACCCTTCATGTAAGCAGTTCGGAAAGTACGAGTGGATTGGGATGTTAATGGGAGCATGCCTTAGAAGTAACAGAGAACACTTGGTATGAAACAATGGCTACTTTGATGGTTAAGAGCGAGTATCTTAAAACCAAACTCAAATTAACCACAATGACTGATTTTTCCTTCGGTATCTGTGCAACTGACAAACTAGTCAAGGCTTAAGTCAGGGTTCTTGTTACACATCGTTCATTAACACACATTCTTCATTTCTTCCCTCAAGGTTCTTTCACTTCCGTCTTTCGTTTGGCGGCAACTCGTCGGTGAAAAGGTGACTTGGTCGCGAGATTTCATGACAGTTGATTCTGCCCAGGTAATTGGTTAGGTCTTCATTTACGAGATGTACATTGTTATGCGTTAACACGTCAAAGTGGTCTTTTGAAAGCCAAGAGCTGTGGACCAACAAATGTGTGGCTAACGAAATTGATGTACTCAGCGCGAAACTGTTATTTCTTTGCAGATATTTTTATTACGTTATTAATCTCTTTTAGAAAGAGCCTTTCACCTGGAACCTCTATCCTCTCCCCTTCCCCACCTCCAACTCACACGCAAATGCAATTTCCACGCAATGCACGCGCGATACACGCACACTGCGTGTCCCGCATTCCCCCCCCCCCCCCCCCCCCCCCCCCCCCCCCCCCCCCCCCCCCCCCCCCTCCCCGCCCCTTAGCCCAGCGCACACACAAATGATTGATCAACAACTTATCCGGGCGAAACTGGAAAATAATATTTGCCCCAATAAACTAATTTGAAGTAAGTAGATATGTAGAACTTTAATGGTACTGTAGTTTTAGAAACAGTGCTCTAGACTAGGCTATGTCTAAGTTGTGTTTTCCTTTTGTCATCTAAAAACTTGTCATATCAACGAGAATGTGCATGCAGTCAAACAAATATCTCCCAGGAAGGCCTTTGTTTAAATCAGTACTTTTGTTTCTTTTCTCAACTCAGGTCAAGTTGCTCGAATCTCTCGAAACAATGGATAAGGAATCGTTTGATACGAAGTTTGGTGGAGTGTTAACGTACACAACGGTAAGTTTGTTTTTTGAGTTTAGAAATATTCCCATATTTCAAAGCGTTTGGGCAGATTGCAGATGACGTTTTATTGTGGTGAGATGTCTTTGGCAGTTTTTTTCCAGGATAAATAACTGATTAACCCGTCAATATGTCCCAACAATAGCGTGGCGGATCTCTTGGGGGGGGGGGGGGGATTTACGAGCACATAGTCTGTCCCTTATTACTTATAGACCAAAAAAAAAAGCGTGGCCGAAGCAATGAGGTCCTTTGTTTGTCACAGGCGTTTTTGGTTTTAAGTGCCAATAACTCGCCGCTCGGTGTGAACTGTTTCCCTTCCTCGCCCACCGAAAAACGAGCCACATCCGACATCACTGAGTTATCAAATCCGTCTTTATTCTCAACCTTTGGTCATCCCTTCAGTTACCCCTCCCCCTTAAGTTTTTCACTAACCCCCCTCTCCCTCCATAACAGGTTTTAAGCGATAACACGTTAATAAACCTTGTCCCTGGAGGAGCTGATAAATTCGTAGATTATGAACAAAGAACTGAGTACATTCAGCTGGTGCGAAATTGCCGGATGGGCGAAGGGAAACAGCAGGTAAAACTTTGCATAACGAGGTTAACAATTTTTAGTTCCTAAATTTAGCCTCTTAGACTTAACACTCTACACCCTAACATCAGTATGCATATTCTCCATACTGTTCTCTATACATTTCCTAAGTTGATGATAAGGAGAATTTCTAACAATCAGAGCTTCTTTAATTGGTGACCTTGATGTGTGATTCAGGGGTGATGTTGTCAGGAGAAACAGATGCTAGTCTTTCTTAGGGGTCAAAAGGTCAAGGCTGATAAATAATGGTAATAGGACTGAGTGGAGTCCGATTCGGTGTGCAATCATACGGTGATTAACAAATATAGAAGACCGCAAAGCGGGAGTCCGATTTGTCAATTAAAAGCTCGGATGTCAAATTATGAAAAAAGTTGAGAAACAAACTAGCTGTTATACGTTTTCATAAAAAAAAAATAACAATCAACTCGGCGAAATACATAGTCTTTGCAATATTTCTCTTTATTTTGTCTGCAGATTGAAGCGATCAGAAGGGGTCTTCTAAAAGTTCTTTCCCAGGCTGTTCTCGACCTTCTTACTTGGCAGGAACTGGAGAGAAGAGTGTGTGGCGATCCTGATTTGGCAGTGGAGGCGTTAAAAAAGTGTAGTAAGTGTTACTGAAAGATAGGTAATGACTGGTTTACATCCACCCTTTCTGAAGACCTACGTTCCAATTGGATGAAAGCTAATCGTGTAGCTTTTAGCCCTCAGGTGTAGTCATGTAACTGCTAGTGCGGTCATGTCACCTGGCATGCCTGACGCTTACACCCCTCACAGAGCGCATGCGCAACTCTGAATTCGTTCTTGCGGCTGTATGAAGTGCACTCTAAAATTGAGTTTAAGTGAATGTCAAACGCTTTCTGACTTAGTGGCACGTGCATCCTCAGTCATTGCGTTTCGTCTCTACGTGTCGTATGCAAGTCAGAGAAACGTCAGTAGGGACGCTGTTGCTCATTGCCTCTCTCTTCTCTTTGATATAACAGTGCACTACGAAGATATCACCGAGAATGACAGGCGCGTGAAGTTTTTGTGGAAAGCGTTGGAGAATTTCACAAACGGTAGGTTGTGTTACACAGATCGCGCAAACGCCCCCTTTTGCGTGAATCCTATACAGTATCTTAATTTTATGGTAATGTCTTAAAGAATCTTATGTATCAACGCAATAGTCCATTTTACAGTTGCTTGTTTGGTTGCCAAGCCTTTGAACTGGAGTGAGGCTAAGGGTGACCTTGTTATGATACAAACCTTGCTGCTTTTCAAATGTAAATTACTTTGTTATCATGCCAACTAGATACTGTTATCGTGCTAACTAGATCTCTATCACAACATGGTCAACTTCAGTCTCACTCCAAAACAAAGGCGTGGCATCTAAGTAAACCACTGTAAAATGGCCTATTGATAGCTTGACTTTACATTTTGAGACAAACGACTGAACATTCATTTATCGACAAAACTTCGATGAACAACAACATTTCATATCTTGTACATTCCTGGCATAATTAGCAAGTTTGTCGTAAGAAACGTTAGCCATCAAGCTCGAATCCCGTTTCCAAAGTTCATGTCGTGTTGTGTACTTGAATAGTGGTCTCTCCTCTCACGGCGCTTCTTTCCACCCGGGAGTAGAAACGGGTACCAGTGAGTTGTTGGGCAAACCTGACGAAATTTTAGGGTGTGTCCTTGGATTTCATCCCGGGAGGGGAGGTGGAGTGGAAGGTATGACAACACTCTTGGTCGCTTCATGCTACAGAGGCTATAGTACTGTCTACTTGCTTTTGTGTTGTTCAGATGATCGCAGTCGATTTCTACGTTTTGTCACGGGACGGAGACGACTTCCAGCGCCTTTGTACATCTGTCCTGGGAGAAGGTGAGAAGTGACCTTAACTGTGTTTGAAACTTTCTTCCGGTTTTTGCTTTGGCCCACAGAATACCCAACCCTTCACATCCGGAAGTTGAGCATTTACAAGGCAAAATTGTGTGGTGTTCTGGGCCATATCAATAAACTTTCTGGGAAACCCGACTTAACACTGTGTGATAACTTGCTTTGGACTTGTATTGATCTTCTTCAGGTGGAGAAATACTTTTCCTAATCGCTTTCTGGTTTAGTAAACTGAATAAGCTTCAGGTTTAGTGGCCTACAAACATGAAAGACTATCCAACCTAACTCAAAGAGATTGAGGTCATAACATCCCTGGCACTCTCTCAACTATTTCGATCGTTAGGCTGTAAAGTTACAAAACAAGAGCTGATAATTCGTAAATAAAGCACTTCGCGAAATCGTCTTCACTATTCGTTTTTCCTCACTGATGGCTTCTCTCTTATTGAATCTCAGTTCTGTGCAAGCTGACTCATTGCCTGAAGCTGCCACTTGTTCAAGCACTCTTTTTCTACCAGAATATACAAGGTTTGTTTTTCTACATTGAACTTAATCAGTGCTACCAGGCTTAAGCTGTTATGATTAGGGGGACTGCTCGACTGAAAAGATATTCCACTTAGCAAACGAAACGTGGGAAAGAACTATGCCTAGTGCCTACAAGTACCAAACCTTTGAGAGAAAAAACTGTGATCAATCTTAAATCTCGTCTTGGGAAGTGATATAGCTGTAGCTCAGGTTTTGTTGATAAAAAGAAACCCGATTCACCCTTTCCTTAAAGTATTTCTGGGTGTAAAAGAATCCCTCCACTAATCTCATACTTGTTTGAGACTACGTATAAATCTTTTACTCTCATCGTTCTGCTTTCAGTGCAAAAGTAGCTGAAGAAAAGATTCGATACGCTGCTTACAACTGCATGGCGATCGACACAGATGTCAGTCCGTGGGAAGAGTAACTAACGTGGTGTTGAAACCGCGCGAAAGGAACCGAAAAAACGAACCGATTGCTTCACGACAAGAAACGAATCTTTCAAAAACGAACCGAACACTCCACGAAAAAAGCCGACTAACTTAAGCGAAATTTGATAAGTGTCGGTGGCTTCACAAGAACCAAACACTCTACGCGAGAGAGCGGCTCTATTACTTAAATTTCCCGAATCTTACACGCAAATAATAGATTTTAGCCTACAGGAACTGAGACTTGAACGACTATGACCGAAATGCGCAACGAGAAACGAATGCTGCAAGAGAGCGGACAGCACCACACGAGGTGAACCGAAAAGTTCCCGTGAAGAACCGAATCATCCCGAAGCCAAGATCACAGTGCCTCCGACTTTCTTAGAGTTCAATCCAGCAAAACATCGTTATTCGTTTCACCTTAATAATGAATAATTCAATCGCTAGCGGTCCTAAAGGACTGACTCATACTGGCCTTTTAAATAAGCAAATCCTTTAAGGATAGCTATTTGCATGCTCCTAAGTTTTGCAAACGTTTCATTCATCTTAGCTTGAGATATCTTTAACCTTTGTTTCCCGATATGTAACATGCCAATTCTCCTTACAATATCAATTCATACACAGCGCGCAGCCAATGAGAAAAGACATGCCTATCACCTCAAGGGTGTAAGTCTGTGATCTTGATATAGAAACAGATTCCCTTAACTAGTTTTCCAAAGGATGGCTCGAAACCAGAAGGGAGAAGTGCTCATCTCATCGTGGGAGTAAAAGTGTCTCTATGCTGATTGTATCAGTCTCAAGGCGATTATTGTAATTTCTTTGCTGAATATATTTTCTTAAAAATTTTATGGCGTAAAATTCGTAAAATTTGAAAAGCTAATGTAGCCACGAGGTAAAAACTTAGGGCTACTGCGTATAAAAGATTAAATCAGCTTTAAGATTGAAAAAAAAATTGATTTTAAAAATACAATTAATTGTTCGCGTGGAGTACATGGGAAGAGGAAAGATCCATTGGAGAAATTTTTTTCGGTCTCAGTTTTACTTCAAGGGGTAGAAATATTAACGCTTCACAAATATTGACGTTTGTTGAGAACTTTTCATTTCTTCTACTATTAACGTTTCCTTGTAGGGGGAGACTTTTTATCGCCGGACATAGTTTACTTTATGTCGGCTCCCGAGGGAAACGTTTTTTTTTTTTCTTCTTACCATTCAGGTTCGATACATTTTAATTTATGTAAGGTCACATAATTGCTAATCAGTCGTTCACAATCGTCTTTAGATTAAGGGGTGTATAACTTTTTTGATTATTTGTTTGGCCAGTATGTGTCGTTGTTGGTTTTCTTTCATACGCTTTTATTTGAAATTTGATTAACTTACGTGTAAAAGGAAATCAGAATCATTTTGGACATAATGATACAGAAAGCGTATGGATAATACAAGAGGGCACTATGGTACACAGCCAATCAGAGATGACTGGTTCATTTCTGCTACGTAGTACTTAATCCTTTTTGATTGGCTGTGTACCATAGTGCTCCTTTTTATTACTGGTATAGTATATGGGTATCCTGTGGTCAAGTATAAATTATGTATATTAGCAAAATATTCTTGTATTCTCCAAAGTTCCACCAAGACGCTCGTATAGTCGCCTGCCTTCTCCTCGTTCAAAATTTTTTTATAACGCATCTACGTAGGTTATGGTGTCTAGATATAACACGGGTTACCTTGTTTGCTCTAAACTCGAGGGACCCTTTGGAAGCGTAGAGAAAAGTTTAGAAGTTTCAAAGATAGATAATTATTTCACTTTAAGCGACCGTTGCTGTTGATCATGTGTTACTTAATGGTTAAGGAATGCTTAGAAATAGGCAGAGTATTCTGTAGTATTTATTGTCGACAAGGACATAAAGGGTTGATACTACCCCGAACGGGAGGGGAGCTTCTGTGTGATCCTTCAACCCAGTAGCCCCTAAGAGTGACTAGCATCTAATTTCTCCTTACAATATCACCCTTGAATTAAACGCCAAAGTCATGAGAATAGAGGAGATGATCACCAACTAGAGCTGCTCTTGATTGTGAAACAAATTCTCATTGCCAGCCTCTTGGGAAATGTATAGAGAACAGTATGGAGAATATGCATACTGATGTTAGGGTGTAAAGGGTTAACGTGTTATCATTCCAACTGATCGGACTTGTCTTCCACGATCAACGCCTAATATGCTACGTAATTTCATGACAACAAACCTTCGAATTTCTGTCATCCTCCAGCAGTAGACAAGAGGATTAATCGAAGAGTTTAATAAAATCAATAGTCCCGCAGAACTAGTCACCAACTGGTTTATCTTCGCCTGAAACACTATTTGCATCCAAGTACATACTCCGAATGGAATATAACTTAAGGCGACTGCTCCAAGAACGTATAGAATTGCGATTACAGATTTTCTGTATTTGGAAATGTCAGTGTCAGAAAATCCTTGCGTGCATGTAACTACGTTATTTTGGTTCCGTATCTGCCTTTTGTGCCGTCGTAATATCATGAAAATTTTATAATACGAGATAGGAATTAGTGTGACGCAGATGGCGGCCAGTGTGATCGCAACCGTAAGAACTGTCCTCTTGAACCACTCCTCCTTCGAGAACCAGAAGTATATTGATATTGGAAAGATTGCAACAGATGCTATGATTTTGTACTTGATCACACGTCTGACAGTGATGATTGAATTGTATCGTAGATGTAGTACTAGTGCCAGGTATCGATCGAAACTTATTTCAGTTATGCACGCGAAGGACAAGGAAGCAAGGGCGGTACCCACGGCGAAAATTAAGACCTTGGATATGCAGGACAAGCGATAATTATGGGCTGCCGCACCAAAGGATCGAATGACAACCAACGGTTGAACGAAGACACCAATTGCAAAATCAGATAGCGCTAGTATAAACAGGAACACCGAAGATGGTGTGTGCAAGGAAGGTCTCTCTTTTATGGCCCACAGAACAAAAAAGTTCGCCGTTGTTGCAACGGGGATTGATAGAATGTTGACAACGTTATGTAACATAGACACAGGAAGATTTTCCATTGAAGCACTTCCATCAAAATCAACTAGGCAGTTATTGGTCTCAGTGAAAGTGCTAAAATTAGTAGGAAATGTTAAGTTGTTTGTTCGTTCCTCCATATCTCCCACTCGTAAGGGAAGATGCCTATCAAAGGCTGATTTCTGAGAAAGAGAAACGAAAGAAAGAGCGAATAGTCAGTGCAGAAGTCAATCCTTAAACATCAACTAGTGACCATGCAGTCAACATGTAACTTCTCATATTTTCAACACACTCATTATCCACCAAGCACTGTACCAAGGAAAGACAAACCTATCCGTAAAGAAGTGTTTTCTTGTTTAAGAATCCATAAGATAATTAAGCTCCAGAGTAAGTGGTTTTAATATGTGGTGGTTTGAATATGCAGTGCTAGTCCTCAAAGAATTTTTTAAATTCAATTTTCAAACCGTGCGTTCAACTCTCTTAATTCATGACAGAGAAATGTAGGGAAATCATTGAGAAAATTTTGGAAGTAGGAAATTTTGGAAATTAAACTAGCTTGTCCTCTCCTATTTTATGTAATTTTTTCTGGAAATATTTTACTTGCAGTTGTCATTGCAATTGCCTTAATAAAGCATTTGTGTGGGGTCCAAACCATATCGCAACAACATTTGTTCAAAATTAAAAATGTTTTTAAAAAAACAAGTTGTCATTTTAGTTTTAGTTTTAAAAAACTGGGTCAGTATTGACAATACTTTATTTTGCGTTTGGATCTATAATTTGGTATTTTTTTTGCAGTTTCTTTGCAGACCTTCATCTCTAAAACGACGTTTGCCTGTTGCCGATTTGGTGAAATCGAGAGAGAATCAGAAGTTTTCATAAAATCCCTTCTACATTCAAGCAGACTTGAGAACTTAAATTCCCACTGCCAAGAGAGCCGAGCAGTGAAACAGCCGACAAATATCTGCTAAAACATATAGTAAAATGTCACTCACGTACTTCTGGACTGAGTCAAGATTCCTTTTTCCCTGCAATTGACTAACCTGCAAAACTCAGATCCACCTTTTTAAAATGGTTATTTTCATCGCAACAAAAACTATCACTTTCTTTAAGCAAAAAGTTCACCTTACCTAATACTTTTTAGTACAATAGTTCGGTCTGTGGGGTCAGTTTTCCCAGCTTACATTGAACTTGCCTCATAGTGCGGTTTTAATTAAAATTCCTTTTTGACTCCAGGACCGGATAAAAAACTTTAAATTGATTAGGTTTTGTTGCTGTTCGACCGATGTTTTGTACAAAAGGATTGCATGGAACTCGCTTGAACAAATTAAAACGTAATTGATACAACAGATACGAAAGTATAATGACCAAAGTTTTTCGTTGTTTTACTTGCTGTAACGAGATCAATGCGAATCAACAGGCGAGTCAAAGACGAACATTTTTAATCGACCAAAACAAGGAATATCCAAGGACGTCTGAGTGCTGTGGACACGCGGTGCTGAATCATGTTATTACATAACTACTTGTTCATGCTAAGGTAGATGATTGGCTGAAATCAAACTGGTGATCGGAGGGCACGTGCCGAGACACGTGCAGAATAGGATAACGCAATATCTCTACACTTGCAAAAGTACTTTTCAAAGAAAAAGTTAATCCCTCAAATTACACTGAACGTCTGTCATCTCTTTTAATCACTTTTCGTTCATGATGCCCAAAGTAAATAAAAAACAAATAAAACAAGGATAATATCATAGGAAACCAGTGGGATCGCAGTGTCGAAACAAGTAAATCAACCACCGCCTTTTCTTTTAGTTCTGCTATCGAAAAGAA